TTCCAAAGTGGTTTACAAGTTTGCATTCCCACCAGCAATGGATGAGTGTTCCCCTTACTCCACATCCTCTCCAACATAAGCTATCATTGGTGTTTTCGACCTTAGCCATTCTGGCAGGTATAAGATGGTATCTCAGAGTGGTTTTGATTTGCATTTTCCTGATGGCTAAGGATGTTAAACATTTCCTTAAGTATCTTTTGGCCATTTGAGAGTCTTCTGTTGAGATTCTTTGTTTAGTTCTGTACCCCATTTTATTTATTATTTATTTATTTTAAAATATGGAATGCTTCACGAATTTGTGTGTCATCCTTGTGCAGGGGCCATGCTAATCTTCTCTGTATCGTTCCAATTTTAGTATATGTGCTGCCGAAGCGAGCACTGTACCCCATTTTTTAACTGGGTTATTTAGAATTTTGATGTCTAATTTCTTGGGTTCTTTATATATTTTGGAGCTAAGTCCTTTGTCTAATGTGGGGGTTGGTGAAGATCTTTTCCCATTCAGCAGGCTGTTTTTTGTTTTTTTGTTTTTTGTTTGTTTGTTTTTTTTTTTTTTTTGTCTTATAGACTGTGTTCTTTGCTTTACAGAAGCTTCTCAGTTTCAGGAGGTCCCATTTATTTATTGATGCTCCCAGTGTCTGTGCTAGCTAGTGAATACTAGCTCTAAACAAAGGATATTGAGCCTATAGTTCATGATCCTAGAGAGGCCAAGTAATAATGTGAACCCAAAGAAAAACATATATAGATCTACCTGGAAATTGGAAACAGACAAGTTTGCCTGACAAAATAGGGAGCATAGGGGTGGGGGGAAAAGGGAAGGTGGAAGGGGAAGAAGAGAGTAGAAGGAGAGGAGTGAGGAGAACTTGAGGGAATGGGATGGAGGAAGAACAGAGATGAGAGCAAAGAGATATCTTGATTGAGGGAGCCATTATGGGGTTAGCAAGAAATCTGGCTCTAGAGAAATTCCCAGGAATCCACAAGGATGACCCCAGCTAGGACCCTAAGTAATAGAGGAAAGGGGGTCCGATCTTGATTTTCCCTGTAGTCAGACGGATGAATATCTTAAATATCACCATAGAACCTTCATCCAGCAACTGGTGGAAACAGAGGCAGAGACCAGCAGTGGTCTCTGGGCTGAGCTGGGCTGAGCTCCCAAAGTCCAGTTGAAGAGTGGGAGGAGTGAGAATATGAACAAAGAGGTCAAGACTATGATGGGGACACACACTGAAACAGTCTACCTGGGCTAATGGGAGCTCACCAACTTCACCCAGACTGGGAAGGACCAAGCATGGGACCAAACTTGACCCTCTGAATGTGGTTGACAGTTGCATGGCTGGGGCAGACTGAGGGGCCACTGTCAGTGGCACCAGGATTTATCCTTACTGCATGTACTGGCTTTTTATGAACATACTCTCTTTGGATGGATGCCTTGTTCAGCCTAGATATAGTAGGGAGGGCCTTGGAGCTTCCCCAAAGCAATGTCCCTTACCTTCTCTGAGGATTGGATGGGGGTGGGGTGGGAGGGTATGTGGAGGGAATGGGAGGAGGGGAGGGAGCAGGAAAGGATACAGAGAAGATCCTCCTGCCTCATACTCTTCTGGCTGGGAATAGTCGGTGCTTGATTGTTCGTGCTTCTGGTGAAGATTACAGAACACAAACAGAACCAGCGAGGACCACATCCTTCTCCAACCCAAGTGCTTGGTGATGATGTTGATCTGCAAGGTCTTTGGACACCACAGAAATCTTCAGGTTCCCCCTCAAATGGTTCTCGGTGCTCATCCGATTTCTCTCCCCACCTGCAGAATGGGCTCTGCTTTGCATATTTTCTGAAAATTCTTCTTGTTGGCTTCTTCCACCCATTTCTCCAGCAGGGGCTGCAGCTTTCATGTGTTCTTGAAGCTAATCTGCAGGTCCTCAAAGCAGTAAATGGTTGTCTGATTGAATACCTTTTTAAAAGGAATGCCCAGGGTGAGCACCATTGTCAGCCTGAGTGTACCCCAGGGTGACCCTTTTCTGCTTTGGCTGCTTGGCAAAATGATCTAGTTCTTTCTTCAGGGCCATCATGTCCTGTGACTCATCAGGACTTTGTTCTATCTTCTCTACCTTCATGGCATGATGGAGGAAGGTCATTGGCTAATAAAGGAACTGCCTTGGCCCATTTTATTGGTTAGAAGATAGGTGGGAGGAGTAAACAGAACAGAACGCTGGGAGGAAGAGGAAGTGAGCTCAGACTCCACAGCTCTCCTCTCGGGAGCAGACGCCTGAGAGAGATGCCATGCCCCTCTCCCGAGCAGACACACGCCATGAAGCTCCGACCCAGGATGGACTAGGCTAGAATCTTCCCGGTAAGACTGGTTCTCACAGATTATTAGAGATGGGTTGATCAGGATATCAGAATTAGCCAGTAAGGGCTAGAGCTTAAAGGGCCAAGCAGTGTTTAAATGAATACAGTTTGTGTGTTGTTATTTCGGGGCATAAGCTAGCCATGTGGGCAACCGGGGTGCTGGGGACACAGCCCCGCCGCTCATATTACTACAATGGCACTGTGGTGGATAGGACATGGACCACGAGATGGCCCCTCCACTCTGACTCCTGTATGGCCTTCAAGCTGCAAAGTTTCTGGGCCAGCTTGGGGAATTAGGTCTACTCCAACCTGAGATCCACACTAGGCTGTCCCTCCACAAAACTCATATAGCAGCAGACATGGGGATATCCCCAACACCTCTGAGCCTGGCCCAAGTATTGGCCAGCTAGCAAGCCCTGGGAACTTAGCCAGGTCCAAGGGTCCACCCAGTCTGGCTCCTGCCCTCCTGATTCATCACCCCCACCTAGTGGGGATGAGAAAACGAAGTCTGACTATGGGGAGGAATGAGAAGGCTTGTTGGGTCTACCTTTGGAAATGTAATCTACCATACTCACCTGCAATAGTGTTTACCTACTTCTAAACCACACTTTGGGAACTGAAATTGTCAGAATCTTGACAGAGGCTATACCAAATACTCTGCCTGCACCTGGAACATTCCCTCACAGCTACCTCGGCATCATCTGTGTGATGACATCAGGAGACATCATTTCTCCACTTGAAGGCATTCACAGCACTAAACTTTTGCAATGCTGTCACAGACTTCCACTTTTACAGTTTATGTTCTGGTTACCTTCAGCTTTAAAGGTTTTAAACCCATTTGTGGTACCCTGGAATAGTAGCTCTATGAAGGTAGTGTAGTAAGAAATTTCATCTCTCACTAACTGCTGTGAGAACCATTTTTCCTGTCAAATGTAGTTCGTTCTGTGGTAAGGGTGTTTCTGAACCTCTTCCCTTCGTGCAGATTAGTCAGTCATGTCAGAGTGAGACTTCCCTTCCACCAATGGGATGAGACTTTCCTCCCACCAATGGGATAAGATTTCCCTTCCACCAATGGGATGAGACTTCCCTCCCACCAATGGGATGAGACTTCCCTCTTACCAATGGGGTGAGACTCAGTCACCACCTATGTCTAAAATAAAAGATAGGAGCCATCTTGGCCCTGGTATGCTTCCTAGCCTACTCTGGGTTTGGGTGCACCCTTTTACAAGAAAGAACGGCCTTGCTGAGCTACCTAAACTTAGTTTGCATGTTTCTTTGTGAGATGCTGAGGTTGGTCTTTGTTTCTGCCAAGCTTTAGCAGTAAAATGGGAAATAATACTTTCCACAGAAATGTGAGGAGGTTCAAGTGTGTGTAGACGTACAAGCAAAACACCCATATACATTAAAAAAAAAAACCTAAAATCATCTGATAAAGTATTTTCATGGCAACTTTTATTCCTCAGCAAACAATATGATATGGTTGGAAGAATTTGGGAACAAAGGGTCATGATTGTCAAGGTTCAGTGACTCCATAAAGACATATGCCTCCAATCTCACCATATTTACCTAGAACCTGCTTAGTTGCTTAATTACTCTGTGCCCCAGTGATTTCCAATAAATGCAATGTGATCATTATTGGTTTTATTAATTTCTCCACAGTGAAATGAGAAGTTTCAGTAAACCAGTGACTTTAAGCATCCTTAGACCCTTAACTTTTTAAAATTTGTTTTGTAAATTGGCATACCATGTCATAGGCTTCCTTATGAGATTTTCATACTGTGTTCTTACTGATCCTCTTCTCCACTTTTCCCTTCTGTATCTCTGCTCATTTTCTACTTTTATGTCATATGTACCCTATTACTACCCTCTTCTCACCTTCCCAGATTCTCTATTATGACTCCCTTTCCTCTCATGATCCTCTGTAGGAAGAGTTTGTGGTTGATGAATATGATCACATAGATTTCTCCCAGACTTGGACATCTATTTAAAATACAGCTACTTCAGCATCTTTGACTATGTGTATATGAAAACCAAGACTATGAAATGATCTCAAGTACTCCACGTACACGAAAAAGTCAAAGGGACAAGAAGTGATTAGAGGAAACCAATAATCTTATACTTAATTTGTGTGTCTTGGAGGAGAGCGACGTTGCTTTCACCTGGACGACGCCTTCCACGAGGAAAATCTCTAGAGAAAAAAAATGCTCTCAGCTTTTCTGGCTCTCGCTTAGTGTTAGGGATGAGACACAGGTGAAAGTCAGTCCTTCCACTAGCTCCTAAATAAGTTTTATTTCAAAAAGAGTTGGTATGTGGCCAAAATGGCTACACTACCTGTATTCAGTAGGAGTATGTATGAGCAGGTGTGAGACTTTGGTGATTCATCAATTTGCCTTGTGGAGTCTCAGATCTGAGTTTAGCGTCATCTCAAGGTTTATGTAAGGAGGTGAGTCTTTAATTTTGTGTTTATGAGTCTTTCTGAAGTAGCAGGTCTCAGGTGTGTTTGGGTCCAACCCAGGCGTAATGTAGAGTCTACTCCCGTGGAAGCGGTTGTGCCTGTGTCTGGTGTCGGGGGAGGGGCTCTTTCAATTCGGAGAAAGGTAAGTGCGTGGTTCTGACCACGTGGGAAGAGGTGCAGGCGGCAGGTGTGCTAGCGCGGACGTCAAGGCGACGGCGCCGCAGGGGCCAGAGGAGCTGCGTGCAGCCTGCAGGGGGCGCCGCCCGGGGCGATTTGGTTGCGGCGCCTGCCCAGCAGGGCATTTCCGCTCCGCCTCCCGGAGCGCTCCCCGCGATCCTCTTGGCCGAGTGCAGGTGAGATTCTGAGCGGGCTGGGACAGGGAGCCTGGGGCGGCTGAGATTCAGTCACCAGCCAGCGGAGCGTGGGTCGCTAGTGTCCCTGCTGGTGCGGGGGCCGGGCGGGCAGAACCCGCGGGGCGGGGAGCTAGTTTGACCCCGGAACCCCGCCGGGGACGGCCCACGTGATGGACGCGATGGCCACGGCGGGAGACGCAGACCGGAGACGCTGGCCTCAGCGGAGCGGCTGCTCGCTGCTCGCTGCTGGTGGGACGCATGGCTCCAGCAGGTAGCTTAAGAGCCTAAGTGGAATGAGGCTGTTTTCAAAAGTTCTGCTTTTTAGTTTTAGGTGTTTCTTATGCGTGTGGAGACCAAAACTTGCAAAAGAATTCAAAACCAACTTCTGTGGGTCACTTTCTGGTCTTAGATTCTTTTGGAACCATTAATAACATTTGGAACTTTGGAGATTCTTGCCTTTGAATTCTCGTCATGGTTTTCATTGCTGTTCACTCTATTAGCCAGTTATAACGGCATACATAGCCTTGCTCAAAACCCATCAGAGGTGTGCATGTGTTTTAACTTAGCTTAACTCCAAGCTCAGTTTATTCGTGTTGAAGAAATAAGGAAACAAAGTAGAATAGGAGCCATTTTTTTTAAAAGAGTAAGCTGAAGGTCCCGGTAAGAAATCATGTGTTAAAAATAAATGCCATCATTGAATCAATTGGAATTACCTCTGAGAGGTAAGTCTTGTGTACACACATACTTATTTTCTGCTCGTTGAAGGCTTTTTCCTGCCCTGGTTCCTGTAATTGAAGTGCTAACGTGAGGAGCCCTGCAGTTTGGCCGCCTTTTCCTGACCCGGCTCCCAGGAGAAGCCAGAAAGAAGTCCCTGAGTAAGGAGACCAGTCTTCTCCAATGAAGAACATTTGTCTTTAAAAGCTTAGTTTGCAAAGTTAATGGGTGGCTTGTTAATGGGTGGCTTTTTGTACCGAACTTTTTTTTTTTTTAACTAGTAAACTTTACTAACCATAACCTTAAGCATACAAAAAGCCCAAGGTTGGATCTCCAGCACTGGAAAACAAAGTTGGGATTGGATATGTAGCTCAGTTGTAAACTGCCACCTTGCTATGTGAGAGGGTGAGATGGAATCTTACTAATGGCCCTTTGAGGTGATCTTGGATAGTGGGTGGGCTGTGTGTGTATAGAACCACAACCCTGCAATCGTTCATTTTTAAGGTAATATGTTCAAGCCAAGTGTGGCGGCTTCTGCCTGTAATCCTAGCACCCAGAAGATTGAAGCAAACCATCCTCAGCTATGAAAGACCTTATGTCAAGAAATAACCGCTCCCCACCAACGTGTTCTTTTCACCTTATTGAGTGAGAGCTTTTGAGAGCTCCAGTTCTGTCAATGCTTGAAAAGGACTCATTGCATAACTTTTTATTGTACCCTCCACCCTATAAACTAGTGCTGTCATGTTTGGAGAGGGATATGGCCCATGGGAGGAAGCAATAGAAGGACTGCATCAAAGATCTTAGCAGTCTTCTGTAGAACATTCCCCATCTGGATCCAATAGATATTAGAAATTTTATTCAGAGAGCCTGAGCTAACCATGACTACCCAGCATCTTGACTGACAAATCATTCTTCAGTCAAAGGCTGCTCTGTATTGTTGATGGAACAGCTCTGGGAAGGACAGCCTTGCTTAGGTTGCAGGCCTAACCCCTGGAACCCAGAGCTGTGTAGGCACTGGTTACTTTGTGAGGTATTGTTGCGCTCCCTCGGCTGAGTTCACTGAAAAGGCTAGTTGTTCAAAGTCTCTGGGGTTTTATGACATTAAGTCAATAGATATTATCAGTAGTTTGGGAAGGACGAAGGGAAAGGCCATGTGCTATTGGAGTGAATGCACGGGACACAGCAAAGGTCTTTTGGGGCTAAACTTTGAGCAGAGAGTGACTTTTTTTTGGGGGGGGGGTTGGTTTTTCGAGACAGGGTTTCTCTGTGGCTTTGGAGCCTGTCCTGGAACTAGCTCTTGTAGACCAGGCTGGTCTCGAACTCACAAAGATCCGCCTGCCTCTGCCTCCCAAGTGCTGGGATTAAAGGCGTGGAGGAATGGGACAATGACATTTCTGGTTTTAGATACCATGAGCAAAAGACAGGATGGAAATATGAAACTTCAGAAAGAGCAAGGGAGCCAACAGGTGTGTTAAGACTGCCTGGATCTAGGGACATCTGAACCAGATCATACTGAGGAAGGAAAAGCTCTCTGATGTTAAGTTCTGTTTTTTATTAAGGTTCTGATTTTCCTTTTCAGTTGGAAAAATTTTAACCAAATGTGAAAGCATAGAAGTAATCCAATAAACTTCCAGATAGCCACTAAATAGATGTCATGATTCTATCCAGCCTGATATGCATTCTTCCCAGTGTCTGTTCATTTAAGACTGGAGATGTAGCTCAGTGGTAGAGCACCTGCCTGGCGTTTGCAGGGTTCTTCCTGGGTTTTACCCTCAACACTACAAGATAAAAAAAACCTGATTTAAAGCAGTTTATTCTAGATAGTATAACAGTTCTCCTTTAAATAATTAGGTTAGGTTTGTACCTCCAAAGAAAGAACTTTTTCTTCTGGGACCAAAAAGTCATCATCACTTCTTAGCAGATTACCTCAAAATGCTCAAATTTTTATGTGAGTTTGTTTAAAATATTGTGCAAATAAATGATATCTGTTGATTGACCCTTTTAGGCAGGCAGAGATTTAGCAACCTTTCCCTGTAAAGGGGCAAATACAAATTCAGAATTTGCAGGCCCTGAAGTTTTTATATAAATGCCTACCTCTGGAGCTGCAATATAAAAGTAGTCATGGTATATACATATTAAATGTGCATAACTATACTCAAATAATGTTTATTTTCTGGGTTGGGTGTGTGTGTGTGTGCGCGCGCTGCTATTTAAAATTCCCTGCAAGGTTCAACTTACCCTGGTAGGCTGACTTAGATCTGGACAGTTCATGAGTTCCTTCTTTCCTTTTTTCTTTATAAAAAAAATTATGTATTGGGCCGGGCGATGGTGGCGCACGCCTTTAATCCCAGCACTCGGGAGGCAGAGGCAGGCGGATCTCTGTGAGTTCGAGGCCAGCCTGGTCTACAAGAGCTAGTTCCAGGACAGGAACCAAAAGCTACAGAGAAACCCTGTCTCGAAAAATCAAAAAAAAAAATTATTTATTATGTATATGTGTGTGAAAGTCAGAGGAAAGCTTAGGGGAGTCGGTTCTTCCTTCCACAACACGATTCCAGGGCTTGAACTCAGACTGTCGTGCTTGGTGGCAAGTACCTTTACTCACTGAGCTGTTTCTGGCTTCCCATGGTTTGCATTCATGTCATTGATTTATTGGTATCTAATTAGACAACTTGGTTACTGCCAAGATATGAGTGCCATTATTGCACCCTTAGGACGCTCTTGCCTGTTGAAATCTCAATCTGTTGGTCATTGTTGGGGTTATAGGTGTCACAGCTATGTAAGATTTTTGGTTGCTCCTCCTCTGGCAGTTTGTATAGTACCTTCAGGCACTGTGAAAGCTAGTCCTTAGAGAGGAGGCTTTCAGGTCACATCCATCTCAGATTTTCTGATTCCTGTGTCCAAAGCAGGTGGTGTCTTTAGCAATAAGGACTTGCCTTCAACCTCTGGGAGGTAACCAAGGGCAACAGAAACAGCTTGTATTGTTTTGGGAGTCTCTTGAACTCTTCTTGACTCAAAAGGGGCTTCCCGATGCTGGGTACTAGAAATTTTGCTAGAAATCTGTGGATCCTGATGATGTTGGATTCCCCTCTGTATGCTATGAATATGTTTTATTATGATTGGTTAATAAAGAATCTGCTTCAGCCTGTAGCAGGGCAGAATATAGCCAGTCTGGAAGAGATACATAGAGAGAGTAGGTGGAGTCAGAGAGATGCCATGTAGATGTAGCTGCCAAAGGAGATAGATGCCAGATCCTTACCAGTAAGCCACGGCCTGTCCCGATACATAGATTTTTAAAATTTATTTATTTATTAAAGATTTCTGTCTCTTCCCCGCCACCGCCTCCCATTTCCCTCCCCCTCCCCCAATCAAGTCCCCCTCCCTCGTCAGCCCAAAGAGCAATCAGGGTTCCCTGCCCTGTGGGAAGTGCGATTCATAGGTTAATAGAAATGGATAATTCAAGATGTAAGAAATATGCCTAGCTAGAACTATGTCTGAATTATTATAATATTAATATAGTTTCTATGTTATTATTGGGTCTGGGCGTATGGGAAATGAAGGAGCAGCCTCTGCCTACATCCTGAGAGAAGCATTGTCAGCCCAAGTGGCATAACTCCTTTTAAATTATATAAAATTAGTGTTATTTTCCCCCTCCTCCCTTTCCTACTATACTGCTGTGTACCCCTGTGTATGTACACAAGAGACCAAAGAGGGCAGAAGATGGTAACATTCCCTGGAGCTGTAGTTGCTGGCAGCTGTAAGAAGCAGGCCAACTCTGGTGCCAGGAACCAAACGCAGGTCCTCTGGAAGAACAGCAAGTGCTCTTGCTGCCCTGTCGTCTCTCCAGCCCCAGCGGAAGGGCAGGGGAGAGAGAAAAGGAAGGCGTTAATGTGTTTATCCGAGGAACCCTCTTCTGATACAGTGATGTTAATCCATTGATGTGGGCAGACCCTATGACTCACCTCTAAAGCTCCTCTCCCAACACCTATATTGGGGGTTAACTTTCTAGCACATGAATTTTGGGGACACCATCATAGCAGAGGAAACATTTAAATGACAACAATCTGGGTCCACCTATACAACCTGTTAGCATTCTAGGAAACAGGTAGAAGCTGTTGATTCTGTCACGGCCCCACAGCTGTGGGTGTCTTCCGTTTTGTCCTGGTGGTATAATCGCTGGGCGTCTGTTTGACTCGATTACATTCCACATTATTTGGCCTTGAACTGTCTATTTTTATGTATTTCTGCCCCTCTGCTGGACCTCAGCTTCCAGTTAGATAAGAATGACT